AGTTTTATTAAACTTTAATCACCTTCTCAATGCATATATTGTCTAGTACCCACTGTGCCTATGGCCTAAATAAGGGACTTTTAAAAAAAGAGGAATACTTATTTTCCTGATTCTCAAGCATGGTGTAGTTTTGCTGTCTTTCATTATTAACTGTAAACCAGAGACAGAAATTGGTGAGATAAAGTGAGTCAAAAAAACAAAATTAAAGCAGCGTCAACACTAGATTTGTCCAGAATTTAATGAGCTTTACAATAAAGGGTGCTGATTATAGGTAATATCTCACAATGCCATTCATCACTCAAAAAATAATGTACTTTTAGGAGACAACTGTAACTGTGATCTGAAATGATGGAGATACAGATGAGATTGACGGGTGCTGTGAGCAGGTGCCATTGCCATCTTCCACTTAAAGGCCATGGGCATTATACGAGGTTAAAGTAATTTCTTACCCAGCGTTTGCTTTACAGAAAGCTTAAATAAACAGTAACACAACACCCAGCTCAGCTCGCCCTGCCTCCTGCTAGCCATTCCTATGGTTTTACACAAATCCCAAGTTTCCCTCATTTCCCTCCGATCTCCACATCTTCTCCCAGTGCTGCAAGCATGAGTTCAGCGTGTGCAGCTGAGACACATTAAGAGTTAGTAGCCAAAGGCGCACGATGAGGCTACTGCCCAGTCTGGCTACTGTGGAGCAGCTGCCCATTAGCAGCCAGGCCTCCGGGGGACAGCCTTTATGGCATGCACTATGCAATGTGTTCCCCTCGAATGCTGTGTTCAGTTTTGGGCCCCTCACTACAAGAAAGAAATTGAGGTGCTGGAGCATGTTCAGAGGAGAGCCACAAAGCTGGTGAGGGGTCTGGAGCACAAGTCTGATGAGGAGCAGCTGAGGGAACTGGGGCTGTTTAGCCTGGAGAAGAGGAGGCTGAGGGGAGACCTGATCGCCCTCTACAACTGCCTGACAGGAGGCTGTAGTGAGGTGGGGGTCGGCCTCTTCTCCCAAGTAACAAGCAATAGGACAAGGAGAAATGGCCTCAAGTTGTGCCTGGGCAGGTTTAGTTTCTACATTAGGAAAAATTTTTTCCCCAAAAGGATTGTCAGGCATTGGAAGGGGCTGGCCCGGGGAGGGGGTGGGGGGGTGTTTAAAAGTCGGGCAGACGAGGTGCGTACGGCCATGGTTTAGTGGTGGGATGGCAGTGTTAGGTTAATGGTTGGACTTGATGATCTTAAAGGTCTTTTCCAACCTAAACGATTCTATGATTCCATGTTTAAATTCCTGGCACAGGGACCATAATGGGACACTTTAATTGCTCTGTCACTGCCCCGGGTACCTGGGAAACTTGCCCTCCAGTTGTTTTCTAGGAAAGCGAAAAACATGAAGAATTTATGGAGAACTTAAAGGCAGATTTTCCAGCTGAGTCAGATCTTTCATTTACCTCCAATGCTTTTTTCTCAACTATAAATCCAGTTGTTCCCATAGGTTACTTTCACTTCACACTTGTGCGGATGAGAAAAAGAGGTCAGTCAGGTCTGCTAGGTGTCATCCTCCACTTACTTGCATTGGTGCAACTTAGGTTGTTGCCAAACCTGTAAAAACGAGAAAGCAATGAGGATCTATCAGCACCATGACTCACGCCTGGTGGGACTGCGCAAGCGATATCAGAAGAGTCTTGCCCGATGGGGAATCTGCTTGGAAACTGATCCTTTGCATCCACAAAGAGCTGTGCAGAAATGACAGTCTGAAAAATGACGCAGCTGACTTCAGTGTGGACACAGGCACTTAAGTGTCCAAAAGCTGGAAAGCTTTTCAATTGCACAATCACCTTTATGCCACTTATTATTTTTGGCTGCAATCACACAAAAGAATATTGGCTGGCTTTCTCGTTAGCAGAGGTTGAGGAGGTTACATCAAAGCTAATCAAAAAGGCAGTTTTAGAGCTGAAAGCTATGATATGTCAGTCCTGAAAGTCTGAAGTCTGGAAATTCCTTATTGAGCCTGGCAATCTGACTCCCACAACTGCTTCCTCCTTATCAGAGCCCTCCTCACCTGAAGGAGTACCGAAGAGTCTCAGAAAATCTGATCGCGTATCACCTGGAGCTGGCTCAGTACAGCTGCAGGATTCAATACATTAGCATTTCTGAAGCTAAGAGAGAAATCATTTACATGCACTAAGATTTTAATTGCTACCCTGATCAACGGTATTCAGTATTCCTCAAATACTCAGCCATTGCTTTATTTTAACCACATTTTGTCACAGATCCATGTGGTATCAAGACATCAAGAACGTAGGCCTGAGCCTATGGACTGTCATGTGAGGCTATGGCAGACATTCTGGGTATTTTAATATGGACAGGGAAAAAAAAGCAGACCCTCAGTTAGCTGTGGCCATTATCAATGGCTTATGCTTTACAGCGCACACAGCACTGGGCTCGGCGCTGACGTTGAGTTACTTAGCACTGGTCCAGCGCAAGCCAGGGAGCTATAAGTCTGGGGCATTTTCTGATATCCTTGTAAATGTCGACCAAGGCATAAATAGTATCAGTTTTGCTTTTGATGCGTGACAAATCACTTTTGGACTGAGATTTGTCAAAGTGATTTTAATTCCTTTTGGGGCGCTCCAGAAGATGCTGTCAAGGTTGTGAAAAAGGCTCATTAGCTCTTCAATAAAGTCCTGACCCAGTAAATGCTGGAGTGAACAGAAAAACTCTTTCTGTCTCCAGTCCTGGTTAGACGAAGACACAAATGTCCTGGGATTCATTACAAAATCCAGAACGGTGCAGCCCAGTTCCACACCCGGTAGCCTGAAAGTTGACTCTGATCAATAGCTGGGGAGTTTCTGGGCTGTCGGTTCCCTTCGGATCCTCACAGTCTGCAGACATGATCTTCTCTTTGGTCTTTCTCTTATTGCACAGCGACGAGATCCAAGCTCAGTGCCCACCACCACACGTACAGCACGAGACACCTTCAGTCCCGTACCTGCGTCACCCCACGCTCCTCGGGACTGAGAGGGGAACCACCCACCAGTGGCTGTGTTCCTTGGTAACTTCCTATTCTCAGACCACAGTTATTCAGGGCGTTTTTCCATTATGTCATTTGTTTCTGTTTTTATTGACTGGGTAAATAACTCTCTTGATTACAGCAGTTACAGTTTTCCCCATGGTTATGTTTGGCAACAAGCTTCTCACCCTTCTTTAACTGAACTGTTAATTAGGAGATCTGTGTTTCCATTCTTGTCAAAAGCAACTAAGCTCCCTGCCACTGGAATTCCTTCTCCTCCCTTCTCCGAGGGTGAGAGAACAGGGATTGTTTGCTTGGTTACGCTTTAAGTCTTCTGTATGCTTTTAATAAAATCTGTAATTAATACTTTGAGAGGGATTCTTTTTTTCCCTGTGGCTAAGCACATCTTGAGCGCAATTTTTTAATGGCAGTAAACAAAAATAAAGAACACTTAATTGCGCTCCCAGCACGACTCTGACATTTCTCATAACGATGCAATAGCCTTGGGTGGCTAAATGTGAATGTCTAAAAGAAGTCAGTGTAGTATTTGTAACAAGAAACCTGACTTCATTAACTAATCAAGTGTTAAGAGGGAAAAATCTGCCCAAACGCTGCCAACTCTGTTAAAATCCAGGGACACTGGATGTTCTGGGAACACAGGGCAAGCCATTAGTGTCCTTTTCTTATGCTTCAGAAGAAAGCAGCCATAGTCTTTGACCTGTAAAAATGTATGAAGAGGATGAAAAGCTTGAACTGACTCCAGCTGAAGCCAAAGACAAGACTAGACTTGTCAATATAGGCAGAAACGAGCCCAAAGCGTCCGCACATGGGAACTGATAACAGTATTACTTCTAAATACAGAGTGTATATTACTTATTGCCATCAGATATCACAGACTGAGGGTTTAGTTTTAGACTTTAAAAAAAAATGGGCATTAATATGCTTCTAGATACGAAATGATCACAAGGGATTGTGTTCATCTCACATAACCTGTTGAGATGGCCTCCATCTATAGCCAAAGGAGGGAAAAAGGCATCTCCTGAGGTTGATTCAGCTTTTCGGTCTTTAGGCCCCAGTTTAAAATGAAATGTGCCCTTCTCTTGAAAGAGAACATACATTTCAAATTTGTCTTCAAGAGAAGAGAAATTTTCAAGCAAGGCATACTCTACTTTCCATAGCTGGACCACAAGAAAATTTTCCCTGATTTATATGCCACCGATCACTATCACAACTGGGAATATGGAATATAATGAGGATGCAGCACCTTCTGTGTTCACACAATGCGCACATGAAAGGTATTTTGTGTTTTTCTGAATGATAAAGTGTTGGTCCCTGCCTTGAGATAGGCTGCTCAGCTGGGTGAACCACAGGTCTGCTGGGAAGACTGTCGTTATATACCTATTCATGCCTTCTTATTCTTATCTATTTTCATATTATTTTAAGAGCTTTATGTTACATTTTAAAACTTCAACCTGACCTTCTGAAAGTCTCATTTCTGTAGCCATTGAATGAAAAACTTATTTATTGGCTCTGAAGAAACATACTATTCCTTACTGTGCAGTGCCCTGTTCAATACTTACAAATCCTGTACCTCTTTCTTTGTACTATTAGCATTTCTATATTGTTTGATTTGAAGGCATCCAACTGTTTTCAAGTTTTGAGATTCCCTGTGTACCAAGAAATGACATAGATAAGTTCATTACAATGCCTTAGGGCAGAAATCACAAGATGCGTTTAAATACTTGAGCCTGGGGGAGGGTGAAAGATGCCCTATCAACGCAGTCTTCAACACCTATTGTGGAGTTATAAGGAACGGCAACCCTATCGCATTCAATGTATGGGTTAAATACAGTGACAGGGAGGTGGATTGAGAACTGGCTGAAATGCCAGGCTGAAAGGACTGTGGTCAGTGGCACAAAGCCCCAATGGAGACCAGTCACTACCAGTGTACCCCAGGGGTCAATACTGGGGCCAATCCTGTTTAACATCTTCATTAATGACCTGGATGACAGGGAAGAGTGTGCCCTTGGCAAGTTTGCACAATACAAAACTGGGAGGAGTGGCTGATACACCATCTGCGCCTGCTGCCCTGCAGAGGCACCTCAGCAGGCTGGAGAAAGGGGCTGCCAGAAGCCTCATCCAGTGCAGCAGGGGGAAATGCCAAATCCTGCACGTGGGGAGGAACAAGCCCAGGCAGCAGCATGTGCTGGGGGCCGACTGGCTGGGAAGCAGCTTGGCAGAGAGCGACCTCGGGGTCCTGGTAGACCACAAGATGACCAGGAGCCAGCAATACTCTCTTGCTGCAAAGGCGGCCGATGGCTGCCTGGGCTCCGTTGGGAAGAACATTACCAGTAGGTTGAGGGAGGTGATCTGTCCCCTCTGCTCAGCACTGGTGAGGCCACAGCTGGAGTGCCGTGTCCAGTTCTGGGCTCCTCCGTACAAGACACAGATTTACTGGAGTGAGTCCAGCACAGGGCTACGAAGATGATTAAGTGACTGGAGCATCTGACAGATGAGGAGAAGCTGAGAGCGCTGGGACGGTTCAGCCTGGAGAAGAGAAGGCCCAAGGGGATCTCAGCAATGTGTACAAATATGTGATGGGAGGCAATGAAGAAGAGGGAGCCAGGTTCTTCTCAGTGGTGCGCAGTTGTTGTGACCCCCTCCTCAGGCTACCCTGGGTAGGATGAGCTCCGCTGCGAGGTTCCTGAAATCGCCCTGGGCCAAATTAAAGTGAAATGACATCAAATGATCTGTTACCAGCTTGTAATTCTTTACTATGCAATTTTAGGTAATTTGAGGGTAAGATAAAAGGCAGGGGCCAGGCAAAGAGAGAGTTTGAGAGAGAGATCACCGGTCCAGGTTCCAGCACTGGTCCAGCCAACAGGGGGTGCATCTGCCCTCAAGTTTCCCCACAGTCTTGAGATGGCTTGTGACTTTTATCCCTTGCTTAGACACACCTTCCCCGCTTCCCATGATAAATAGCATGCCTGCTCTGTCTGGTCCTCTTTTGAGTCAGTGGTCAGTGAGTCGGTGGTCGCAATCTCCCCCTGCCCGAACTACCTTTTAGCTAAAAGTCCATGGCTCATCTCACAGACTGCCTTCTCAGTCCCTTTATCTGCAGAGCATTTGAGGCATGAGCGCTGGGTGCCTCCGCCCCCTGCTCCCTTATCGAGTCCTGTCCTGTTGGCTGCATTCCTTCCGGACAAACAGTTCTTGGTGTCAGGGGTGACAGGACCGGAGGCAACGGGCGCAAACAGAAACACAAAATTCCATCTGGTGACAAGAAAGCACTCTTCTTACTGTGAGAGTGGTCAAACCCTGGAACACACTGCCCAGAGAAGATGTGGAGCCTCCATCTGCAGGGACATTCAAACCCAACTGGGCACAGTGCTGGGCAACCTGCTGTAGCTGGCCCTGCTTAGCAGGAGGGGCTGGACTAGATGGTCTCAAGAGCTCCCTTCCAATCTAAATAATGTTGTGACCTTGTGATTCATGGTCCTTGGGAATCCTGGTATTGCTAATAGCTCGCTGTAACCCTGCCATTGCCTGCAGCTGCAGACCCAATGGCCGTTTGCTCTGTCTTCGTAAAAAGTTTCCAGAAGCTTGGTTAAAGCTAGTCCAAACACGGGGGGGAGGGGTGTGTGGGGGGGCTCCCCACAAAATTGTGTCACTTCAATAAAAATTCCTATAAATGTTTCTCCATGTATTTCATTTTGGAATATTTTCATTTCAGAAAATGTTGAAACTCCTTAATCTTTGACTTGATGCATTTTTATTGATTATTTTTTAAGTGTTTCATGACAGATCAGGAATGACAGTGCTACAGCATAGCTGGAATATTTAATTCTTAAAATCAATAAAAGCAGTTAATACATTTTACTGATCAAAACAGCTGATATTTTTTAAGATTAATATCTCAGGTTGTTTCATTTCAGTGCACAGGGAATCTAGAGAAGATATTCTGTCCAACCACAAAGTAGCAATTTATCTTTGTGATTCTAGAATAAAATTTAAAATAACAAGAGTATTTCCTCTATGTATATGCAGCACGCTTGTTTGTGGGGGTGCACATTATATACTACAATAGGTATTTTATGAAATAAATCAACATTAAAAATATTTGAAATTACATTCTCAAATTCTAAAAAGAAGTTTTGCGTATTAATTTTTATGTGCAAATCCCATTTTATGGGAAACCAAAATGTGTCTTCAGGCAAGGAAGACATTTCAAAAAGGCATAATTTCCAGCAAGTCAGGAATTGTGATTCATCCCTCTCAATTTCTCCTGATTAGGAGGGGTTTACTTATCCATTTCATAAGCAGCAACTGAGAAAGAGCATCACTAAAAAGAGGAGGACCTGATCCCCTGGATGTTACGCTTACATGAACCAGAGCAGAAAGTCTCCCAAAGTCAAATGAGAGTTTCTTGTGTCGTGCCAATAAATTTGAGAGACGAAGCAGGTGTAGTGGTAACCAGTTGGTTATTTAAGCACTAATTAACCCTTCCAAGACTTCAGTACATCGCTGTTTCACAGGCATGCAGCAGAGAAGTCCTTCTGGGCATTTCCAGCCAGGTACTGAGAAGGCTCGGTTTCCCTGAAAGGGGACTCTTTGCACACATTAAAGATGCTCAACTGCATCCAGGACTGGGTCCAGATTGTCTGTCTCTGGTGAAAGAGCGAATTCTGGGCCTGCCGAATAACCACGCTGGCACCGTGTGCTGGGGAGGGACCCCGGCGAAGGGGAGCGGCCGTACGGTGCTTGAGCGGGACTGCTGCACGGCAGAGCTGGCCCTGCTTCCTGCGGCTGATCTGCTGTGACAGACACCGGGCAGAAACATAATTAACATCCTGCAAAAGGGATCCTGAGATTAAATGGGCAACAAGGAGACAGTCATTGCAGGAGAAGTGGAAAGCAGTGACATTTATGTCCTGTTTTGGTACATCTAGCTCCAAAGGCTGCCTTGTTTGCCCTGAAACAATGGGATCCCACGTCCCCATCACCCTGGTGCTGAGATCGATGCGAGCATCAATTGTAAAGCTGTCAGCCATGCACAGCTATATGCTGGAAAAAAGACCACCAGGAAAATTCTCAGTATTCTTAAAGGGTATCAAGCGTTGCTGTCGGAAAATGACATCTGAAAGCCTAAAAAGCTGGTAAAAAGGCAAAAGCTCTCTACTCTCTCGGTACTAAGCATAAAAGAAGAAAGTCTGCATACATATGCTAGAGAGTAAAAGGAAATCTAAATTCAGTAAATGAAAGAGAGTTCTCTAAGTACTGTCTCAGACAGTCTATGCTATTTCGAGAAAGGCATTTTTTTCTCACTGTCCTATCAGTACCACAGTGATAGTCTGTAAGCTAAAGAGGAATTATTTTTTTCTGACTAACAAATGAATACCTAAGGGCCTGGGCTGTTTTACGCAGAATGACTCTTCCAAAATGGCTGTACTTCCTTCACCTCCCAGATGCCTGTCTCTTTTCAGGAGGGTATCCGAGGCAAAGGTTTCCCCGGCTTTAGAGACAGCCTATGGATGCTTATTAACTACCTGGGAACAGGACACGCTCGGCTTCTGGGAAGGAAAGTAGGGAATGATGAAAACAGGGAGAAGGCAGCATCTGGAAGATGGAAGAACATGACATCAATCTCTTGACTGTCCAGACTAAAAAGGGAGGGAAAGATTTGCAGTTCCCTTACTGTGTTTTCTGAGGAAAGAGCTGCTTCCAGGGTAGGGAATTAGGTAAATATAAACATGCAGGTGAAAGCTTATGGGGTCATCTAGTCGGTGATGCTATAGCCCAAATACAGCTCTACAGGAATGAATTTTCACGTAAGGGTGTTTTTGATTGGAGAGGCCAAAAAGTCTGTTAGATTATCTCACTGAGCATACCATACAATTTCCCCCCAGTTACCCCAGTATACAGTCTGGCAGCATGTACAGCTTTTAGGTAATGTATATCTTCAGCAAAGACACACTGAAAACATTGAAAGACATCCTGTCTTCCCCCAGGGGTTTGCTGTAATGGGTAATCAATCTTGTTGTTACAAACATTTGCTTTATGTCTAATTGGAATCTGACTGTTTTCACGTACGTCTCATCGGATCTTGGTACCTCAGTGTCTGCTAGAATAAATGGGCTTTTCAGGCTTGCTCTCTTCTTCCCATGGGAGTCCTGATGCGATCCTGCCATCTATCAGTCTTCTGCTTAGTAAGATGTTGAGATATTTAAATCCCTTTCTGTAAGGCTTTATTTTTTTTTTTTAATAAAAACCCCCACATCTGTGTGAGTCAACACAGGCAGGACTCAGGAACAACCACAAAAGCAGGGATGAAAAGCAAGCAGTAAATTTATTTTCGTTACCTCGTGAACCAGGGGCATCCCCGGAGCAGCACCCGGGCAGAGGCACACAAGCAGGGACGCAGGCACCGCGAAGCTCGGTCCTTGCTAGAGGATCATGAAACCTGCTGTTTGCCCCTGTATATCGGGGATTCACACTGGCGTAGTTTACCACTGTGCTTTGGTCTTTCCCACAGCGGGGCAGGAATCTCAAGCGTGTTCGATAGGGTGCCTCCGAGCCTGTCATGGGTCTATGTTACCTAAACACAGATGTTCTCCTTGTCAAGCACACAAGACTAAACAGCAATTAGCATGATACATGTGTTTTTCTACACCCCAGCTGCAAGTCACTTGAGCGTGTTTACAGTCCTCCTTGCCAATCTTCCCTTATTTTCCCGCATTCCACCCCCTCGCTCAGGAGACCACTTCCGCTGGGGCTGGCAAAGCTGGAAGTGTCCATTTGTGCTTGTGGGGTGTAGGGCAGGTTAATTTACAGAGGCAGGCAATAAAAACCTATAGAAAAAGGAACAAACATATCTCCACAATAATGCTTTGAATCAGGTGTCCCATTCATCCTGCCAGGGAATTAAACCACTCAGCCAGCCTGGCACCACCAGCAGATTGTTTGATTTGATGCATTAAGTCCTGGAGATGTTGAATGTCATCCTCTACGCTGGCTGATTCATCAGTTATGTTGAAGCAACACATGCCTTCAAAATCGAAGCAGCATTTATGGCGTCAAAGGAGGAAATAGTCCACCGCCAATCGATTTTGTAATGTTCACTGGTCTACAGCCATTACCTGCTCAGAAAAAATAGCAACGAGAAATGTCAATATCAAAATCGTCATAATTCTGTGATAACAGCTACTGGGGTCGGCACGCCAATGAAACACGCTGTCAGAAGATCCGCAGCTGGTAAATCTTCTCTTGATACAAAACGCAGATGAGTTAAGTTACAGTCGTGTTGCAGAGTCACTTTCTAGCTCAAACGGAATTCAGTACACAGCACCAGCAG